TCGAAGAACCCAAAGCTAAAACCAGAGACAAGAAAATAAAAAAAAAGAAAGCATTAATGAAATGCAACGTATAAAAAGTGAATAGGGAACGAATAAGTAGCGAATACGTAATAGGGTATAGTCGAGCGCTGAACGGGTACATACGCGCTTATAGGGTTATTTCGCCTCTAAGAAACCATAGCTAACACAAGAGACAAGAATATAAAAGAACAGAAATTTTTAAAAAGGTGCAACGTACAACAAAAGTTTAACAAACGAATAAGGAACGAATAAGTAACAGGGTATCAGTCGAGCGCTAAAACGGAAACATACGCGCTAATAAGGTTATTTCACCTCGAAGAACCCATAGCTAACACCAGAGACAAGGAAAATAAGAAAAGAAAGCATTAAAGAGATGCAACGTATAAAAAGTGAACAGGGAACGAATAAGTAGCGAATAAGTAACAGGGTATCAGTTGAGCGCTAAAACGGATATTTACGCGCTAATAGGGTAATTTCACCTTGAAGAACCCATAGCTAACACCAGAGACAAGAAAAGAAAAGAAAAGAAAATTTTAAAAAGGTGCAATGTATAACAAAAGTATAACAAACGAATTAGTAGCGAATAAGTAACAGGGTATAAGTCGAGCGCTAAAACGGGTACATACGCGCTAATATGATAATTTCACTTCTAAGAACCCATAGCTAACACCAGAGACAAGGAAATAAAAGAAAAGAAAGCATTAAAGAGATGAAACGTATAAAAAGTGAATAGGGAACGAATAAGTAGCAAATAAGTAATAAGGTGGCAGTCGAGCGTTGGAACGGGTACGTACGCGCTATTAGGGTTATTTCACCCCTAAGAACCCATAGCTAACACCAGAAACAAGAAAATAAAAGCAAACAAATTTTTAGAAAGGTGCAACGTATAACAAACGTATAACAAACGAATAAGGAACGAATAAGTAACAGAGTATCAGTCGAGCGCTGAAACGTGTACATACGCGCTATTAGCGTTATTTCACCTCTAAGAACCCATAGCTAACACCAGAGGCAAGAAAATAAAAGAAAAGAAATTTTTTAAAAGGTGCCACATATTACACACGTATAACAAACGAATAAGTAACAGGGTATCAGTCGAGTGTTGAAACGGGTACATACGCGCTAATAGGATTATTTCACCTCGAAGAATCCATAACTAACACCAGAGGCAGGAAAATAAAAGAAAAGACATTTTTAAAAGGTGCAACGTTAAACAAACGTATAACAAACAAATAAGGAACAAATAAGTAACAGGGTATCAGTCTATCGCTGAAACGGGAACATACGCGCTACTAAGGTTATTTCACCTCAGAGAACCCATAGCTAACACCAGAGACAAGAAAATAAAAGAATAGAGAGCACTGAGATGCAACGTATAAAACGTGAGTAGAGAACGAATAAGAAGCGAATTAGTAACAGGGTATCAGTCAAGCGCTGAAATGGGTGCATACGCGCTAATATGATTATTTCACCTCTAAGAAGCCATAGCTAACACCAGAGACAAGAAAATAAAAGAATAGAAATTTTTAAAAAGGTGCAACGTATAACAAACGTATAACAAACAAATAAGGAACGAATAAGTAACAGGGTATCAGTCGAGCGCTGAAACGGGTGCATACGCGCTAATAGGGTTATTTTACCTCAAAAACTCAAAGCTAACACCAGAGACAAGAAAATAAAAGAAAAGAAAATTAAAGAGATGCAACGTATAAAAATTGAATAGGGAACGAATAAGTAACAGGGTATCAGTCGAGCGCTGAAACGGGTACATACACACCAATAGGGTTATTTCACCTCTAAGGATCCACAGTTAACACCACAAGAAAAAAAAAGAATTTTTTTAATAGGTGCAACGTATAACAAACGAATAAGGAACGAATAAGTAACAGGGTAATAGTCGAGTGCTGAAACGGGTACATACGATAACAGGGTAATGTCACCTTTACGAACCAATAATTAACACCAGAGATTAAAAAAAAGAAAAAAAAACCATTAAAAGGGGGCAACACATTAAAAGCAAATAAGTAACAGGGTATCTATCAATCGAGCGCGAAAGCGGGCACATTCGCGCTGACAGGGTAATCTTACCTCCTCGAACCAATATCTTACCTCATAGTAAAAAAACAAAAGAAAAACAAGTATTAAAAGAGGGCAATATATTAAAAAGCGAATGAATAACAAATAAGGAATACGGAATAAGTAACGAATAAGGAATAAGGAATACGGAATAAGTTACGAATAAGTAACGAATAAGTAACGAATAAGTAACGAATATGTAACGAATAAGGAATAAGAAACAAGTAACGAATAAGTAAGGAATAAAGAATAAGTAACGAATAAGGAATAAGGAATATGTAACCAACTTGACGACCCTCTTCATCAGTCCATGATACAGAGTTATAAAAAATTGAAGTGAAAGCAACTCGCAGTCCTTTGATAGATGTCAGGGTCATAGGCATAATTACTTTACCAGCTGTTTATTTTTGTTTGATTTATTTATAGTTAATAATTGAATATTAGGGTATCAAGCATACATATATGTAGAATATTTTATCTATGCATTAGCTTTTTTTAAGCATAAAACAAACGACTTTGATAATTATAGTACAGATAATATGCTTTCCATAATAAATAACATAGCCGTATGTTAGGCGTAGGCATTAAAGTCGGAAACTAAGAGTCTTTTCTTTTAAGGCCCCTTTTGGTCTTATGCCTATAATTGTCAAGCCTGATGGATGGCATTGACAAATAAAATTTTACTTAGAAGTTGATCCAATATCCACCCAAACACTCAGAAAAAAGTATATGAAGTAATTTACAAAATGAAAGAAGAAAACTGTACTGATGAAATATCTTTCAAATACATTAAAAATGATCAAGATTATGTGAAAACACATATTTCCTTCTTTAATTGTCAAACTGGACAGTGAAATTTAAAAACAAACATTGAAAACGAAATCAATCAAATAACAACGATAAATCTCCTTGGTAGACGAATTATATCACAGTGTAATGGACCCCTTGAAAGGATAGGACGATATTTAGATTACTTTTTACTTCCCATAGTAAAAACACTAAAAATGAACATTTCTGACACAGGTGACTTACTAAGAAATATTGAAAACTGTACATTTGATAATACTGTAGTACTTACAACATATGATATAACATCTCTATATACCAATCTCAGATAAAAGGAAATCACACAAGCTTTACAAAAAGCGCTTGATAAACATGAAAAAGATTAAATATCCTTTAACAAAACCTACCAATAAATTTCTGGTTGAAATAACAAAACTCATCCTTTCCAATAATGAATTTACCTTTCATAGAAATTCATATCGACAAATTATTGGAGCATCAATGGGAGCAGCTGCTTCCCTTGAAATATGTGACATTGCTATTCACAATTACATAAACTCTATCCTTTAAAACTCTCTAATTTCTGAAAAATATATTTTTCATAATAGAATGAGAGATGACGGACTACTGGTTGTAAAAGTAAAAATATCTGAAATTGATTTCCTGTTTGAAAATGCAAATAAACAACACGACCTGCTAAATTTCAACTATGAATGCAATGATCATTCCATAAAATGTCTAGACCTTGAAATCTTCAAAGGCGAACGCTTCAAAAATACTGATGTTTTAGACCTGAAATGCTTAACAAAGAATACTGAATAATTCCAATATATTCATAAAAACTCAAACGACCACAATTCAAACACCACATCTTCTTATTTCAATTTACATCCTTTATTAAAGGCGAAGGTGTTCGTATACTTAGAAACACCAACACTGAAAGTGAATTTCAAACCAGAAAAAAACCCTCTTTATTGAAAAACTAATAATTAGAGGATATAAACTGAAATTGGTAAATAAATTATATAAAAAATCAAATTCCAAGACGGATAAGATAAATTAAAGAAAAAGTACAAAGTACAAAGTACAAAAATCAAAAAGTATTCAGGAACTACTGGCATCTACAATACAGATTCTACAATAGGTGCCATAAAACCTATCAATAGGATGCAAAAGAAATAGAAACTTTGGTGAATTAGTCAAACGAGCTATAAAATAATTCGTATAAACCTCAGTACCTACTAAATATCTAACTGTGACGAACTAATTATTGAGTCATGTAAACAACACATGTAAACTGATATTCTATGACAAAGCTTTCTAACCATGAAACACTTATTTTAACATTAATTGAAATAGGTTAAAATAGTTTGAAAAATAAACAATTCAAATTCAAATTCAAATTAACAAATTCAAAAATTCACAAATTAATATAAATAAAAAATCAATTTAAAAACTATTTAACATATTGAAAAATAAAAACTGTAATAAAAAATTGAAAAAATTAAAACAGTAATAAAACATAAATAAATGAAAAACAAAAACAAATGGGAGGTTCTCTGATGAAGGTAGCCCTGGAAAAAAACACAATTCCGAAAAAAACAGAAACGTTGCGTACATAGCACAGTAACAATGTAAGGCCAGAGATATGATTCGCATCTAAATGGGTTGATATTGGATCAGTTTCTATGAATTTATGACATTTTTTATCAACGAAAACCACTGACGTTTTATGTCCTTTTTGGTCATATAGCTCTTCAACTGTTTAGGTTATTATACTTTCTTGGCTTTCAGATAATCGGCTTTGAGCGTTTCTGGTGAAGGTAAATCCATAAAAGCGGTTCCATAAATCCATACAAGCTACGTGCTTGTCTAATATCGAAAGCAATACACAAATTTGGTAAATACAACTTGAAGGAAATCATAGAAATAAGCCTAAATCGCTCACGTTATCTGATATAATGTATCAATAAAGGTTATATTTTCCATATCTGCTACACATGTAGTTTTAAACTTAAACGTGAATGTGGTTGAAATCATGATAATCTCATTCAATCTTACTCATGTTACTTTCCACAAAATATATAAGTCTGGTATTAAAAGGAAAAGTGTCTTACTGCCAATCCCGATTTGTATGCAGAGTATTACCAGGATAACTGCAATCACAACAAATACACTTTGAAGCGCAATTAAATGACTGCTATCTGCAAAAAAAAATACATTTAAAGATTCGTATTCAAAAGAATAACATGTCAACAGTAATTCTGATGGCCGTTTATGTAAGAACATGAATACTCCTGTTTTCTGCAGCTAACAGTTAAGATAGGAAATATTTTTAGTTTTACATTTGAAATAATGTTCAATTATCAATAATCAATAAAAAAAAATCGTTTATAAAGTGAGCCTATAGCTGCAAATAATGTTATGCTTCGGGCTATGTTCTAATTATTTATGAGATCTGAATATTGGTAAACTACTTATGCCTATTTAAGAAGTCTTTAAATCAAAGCGTTATGTTCCTTCACCACCGTTCCATTTGAAAATGATTCAGAATTATACAGTTATAAATACTTGTAAAACGAATACATAATTCGGTTTTAAACGGCATTATTTCATCTGCATGGTTTTTAGATCATTTTACATGCGCCAAAGCGTTGCGTTCTTACCAGGCTTAATATGTAATGTGTTGAAAATATTTGAGATAAAGGAAGGTCTCACTGCCTAAATGTCGACGAAAAAAGCATGCAAAATGAAATCAAGGGAGGACTCCATGGCGGAAAGATACTTACCTTTTACAATGATTCAATAAGAAATATTGGCCCGGTCCTCAAATCAATTGACAATTATACCTGAACACATACTACAATGCTGACAACGAGTCCATTAAAGTGGGGTCATGGTAAGATTACTTTCGTCAGACGAGCATTTAAAATTTATCATATTTTGATGGTTACGGTGAAGCATTTACTTGAATTAAATTGGAGCAGACTTTTTTTGTGCTTTCCAAATTATCTTAACATATTTAAAGCAGACACAGACGTTCGGAAGTTGACTTTATAGGTCGCAGACCAGACTTATGTCTGCTTCTTTTCCATAGTGCACACAACAAAAGTTGTGGATAGGTCTGCTTTTGACCAGTATGTTGACATATCTCCTCGAAATATCCTATAGAAAAGTCTGTATTTGACAGGTCCTCGAGTCAATTCTGTTTTAAACCAGACCTGCGGTTAGGTCTGCTATTGATAAGTCATCGTCGTTAGCATTTGTCAAATCAGATATGGCTATTTATCCTTTTAGATAAACAATAATTGTTTGCATTGTATTATGACAGTATAGCGAAGAATTCTATATCAAAATATTCTGGATAAACACATATTTAAAGTTCAATGCTCGTAAACAAGCATCCTTAAAAATATAAAGGTTATACAATTTTGTATTTGTCGACATATACATGTTATAAAAGAAAGGACACTTTTAATCAAAGACAGATTTAAGGATTACTCGATACATTAAAGAAAGAAGTCCATGATGGAACAATATTACAACATTTTGAAGCTTCATCGTTTCACAGTTTTGAAAACATCTTCTTAAGTTTCAGCTTTAAAATATTAATCATGCAATTCCGTATGTCTTATGGTACATTTCTCTCTTTGCCGGGGATTTATAGATCACATTTAATAAAAACTATGTTGTTTTGCATATAGTTGAACGACTATCGAAGGTACTGTATGATTTCGAAAATGTAGTTTCTTGTACTAATGAAACTTTTCAGATATATATATATATATTAGCCTTCACTTTAGTATTACGTTTTGGATTTTCAAAAATTGTGATCTCAAGCATGTTTGAAAAGACATTATTTGTCCAGATTTTCATCTGTTACAGTACACTTTGTATTGTTCAATGCTATCATGTTAACATTTATTACATTGAAGTACGCAATTTCCAGTTAAAAAAAATATTTATGAAAATGTTAGTATATGATTACCAGAACTATTTACATATATATTAATCTAGACGACAGTAGTTTACCGATGTTCAAATTTCGTAGATCGATTAAGAGGAGACACAGCAAAGAAACAAACAAAACCCGAGGGACTTGCATGAACTCTAAAGGGAGCGAGACTGACTGCGTCGACAATGTCTTCGTCTCCATCAACCGCCATTCGCATTCACACTCAGTCAACATGTCACAATTCGGCATAAGACACAATTGGTAAAATTTTAGATCAGACGACTTTACTGGTATCTAATATAATAATATAATGCAATCAACATTGAAATGATCTATATAGAAACAGACATGAACACTCTTAGTGATGCAGGTGATAGTAATTATTTGTTTTCGTCATATAGTTGATATGTTTCCTTCGGTATTATTTTGTAACCCGGATTTGTTTTCTCTTAATCAATTAATGACTTTTGAACAGCGGTATACTACTGTTGCCTTTAGTAAGATACAATCTGTTTAAGTAACAAAATTAACCGACTTCTTTTACATATACATAATGTTCAGTATTATTGATACAATGAATAAGCGTTGATTCTTGAAAAAGAAACCATGAACCCGGAGGGCGAATGGTTTGTTTTTCATGAATCAACGCTTATCCATTGTATCTATAACTTAAACTATTGTGTTAATGTCTTTTCAAAATTAAAGCCTGTTCTTAATTAGAAGGTATTGTAAGTGAGTTTGAATAATCATGTTATCATGTTCAACGAGGCATTGATAAATCTAAGATCACAATTAATTGGATAGAAAAATACAAATATAACACAACACGTCTGCCTTTAAATTATCAGGCATATGAATATTATCTGTGTTTACAAAATAAGACATATTCGAACTTATTTCTAATAAAATTGAGAATGAAAATGGGGAACCCGACCAAATACCGAAATTTCTAACAAGAAGCCTAATTCTAGACACATTTATTCTCATTGGAATTTGCGAATAAACATTTGTAAAATTATGTAGTAAAACAGATGAAATCATACTATATTTATAATACAAAAATGGACAAATTGAATGTAATCATTTTCGTTTCAAATATATGAAATAGCCAATAATAATAATCCAAAAATAAACGGTTAAACTCGCTATTATTACAAAAAAATATCCACAATAACAAACAAAAAAAAGGAAAAAGAAAAAAAAAAGAATAGGGACAACAAAGAGAATACAGGGATTCGAACCTAAACCCACAAGTCCCTACCTTTAACTTGACTTTTTAACTCATTGATCTTAAACATGCCAACCTCGCGGCTGCAAACTTATACTATACGAATGCCTATTATGTATATATAAAGGCAAACGCCCTGTGTGTCCGTTGTACCGATGTATATCATATGTTCATTTATATATATAAAATTGACATCTAAATTGTAACCCATTCGTAGCCGAGAAGTTTCGTCGATATGTTGATGTCAGTCACAGATAACAGATTTCAAGGACGGATTCGATTCCCACTGAAGACTTACACAAATTAAAGGTAAGTTTTTAAATTAATTCCATTAGTGAACAGAAATCAGTAAATTAACCAATTCAAACTTAATGAAATACGGCGCACAAAGGAAACAATTGAATATAATTTGGTGAGTCAATTTCAGCGACAGATTTAGGAAGCGTTGATTCTAGAAAAAGAATTCACGGTAAATGAATAGGCTGACGTCACGACAATGTTTTAAATAAATAGAAGTAAAAATAAGAACAATCCTTATAAATGCAGACACAAACATTTAGTTAATTATTATCTGTGCAAGATTGTCAGTTTAAAGAACAAATTATGGTTGATTTGAATTGGTGATGACAAATATACTTGTAACTATACATTCATTTTATTATCAGAGCGCACCAAGACTACTTATCTCTTATAAATATTGACACACTTGAATAAAGACGCAACAATTTAAGACACTGTACAGTCATTGTGCTGGTATCTTGCAACAGGATCGATCGTGAGTTACCATTTTTACTGTTATTAATTCATTTTGAATAGATTGAACAAATAATACAACTTTTTATTCATTGCGGTAAAGACTTTGAGAATGCAAGGGGATAGATAATAGATAGAGAAAGTTTTTAAGAATATACATGTAATTATCTGCTTTGAAGAAAAAAGAGTTTTTATCAAGCATATACAAACGGACTACTACAATTAATAAAGTACCAAAACTTGGACTTTGAAATCAAAATTGACACCAGGTTTAACCCACAGTTTTCTTCGGAAAATGCAGTTCCAAGTCGGTCAGGAATATGACAGTTATTTGTTTACTTGTTCCGTTGGTTGATGACGTTTGATTTTGTCGGTTTTTATGGACTTTTCCCTGTTTTCATTTACCTTGAAGTTCCGTATTTTTGTTATAAATTTTTGAAGGCTGCTCTGACGAATCAATTCTAATAAAATTACGTACGTGCGTAACTGGACGAAGGAACCTAATGGGACCGGTAATAAAATTTGTTAAATACATTCTTCAACGTTTCACTAAGAATGCCAAGACTCTAAAAACATACATTTTAATTTTCAGGTGATGAAAAAATGATGAGAAATTGTGCATTTCTACTTATCATGTGATTCTCGTCTATATTGATATTGTTACCTTGATGAGGTCACGTATGTAAATATATCCGTTTACCTATTGTTTAGTATATGAAAGTGTTTTTTTTCTTAATACTCTGGGGATGAACAATCCCTTATCGTAAATTTTACATTCGTGTTTTCCATTATTTAATTCTCATCCTATACTTAATTACTTTTCTCGATAAGTACTGGATTTTTTTTACGAACAATTTCATAAATAGCATAGACAAAATGTTTGTATAACAAATCAGCAGCAGTGAGATTCGTTTTTTCCATGGACAAAACAGACGAATAAATGGATAGGTATATGGATCTAACAAACTGTAGAGGATACTTATAAAAGAATAAAGAATGTATTCAGTTAATTACGCAAAACAACCCAATATCATAAAAGATACAGGTAATGGTCGTCGGGTTAAATATTTAGTCTAAGGATTTTATTGAGAAAAAGAAGGAATGAGGTATAACAATGTTATCTCTTATCAATAATTAATATAACACCAGTCATAGCATCTACGGAAAAAATAACATTTTTTTTAAGGTGAATTGTCTTACAAATAACCACTTCAATAAGATATGTTTATTTCAAATTTCAAAAAGTACCTTAATTGTTGCCGTGTTCC